TGTTTCACACATACAAGCAAACACAACCACTGACACTTTCCTACATTATCAGCGGCTGTGTTTACATTCACGTGCAGTAACCCTGCTATTGGCTGTACTCTGGCTCAGATGGTAATGTTAAACTGTTTTGACAGCCTTTAGGCACCCTGCAGGTGAGACTCCCATTCATTTTGCCATGAATAAACCTGTTAACAGAATGTTTCTGTCCACTTGTGATATCCCGCCCACATCTTGAGCTGCCTGCCAGCTACAGACCCATGTGGATCTTCTAATTCCTCTGCCTTTCCTTGTTTCCATGGCTTCTACTGCTATCAAGATTTATCCATGATGCTATGCAAGCCCACACTTTAAGATGTTATTGTGCTTAAAGCAACTGTGTCAGGCATCTTAACAAAGAGTATGAGCTTACGTGTGCTATTTCATACATTGGGCCAAAATCTGTTTGCCTGTGTCACCAGGTTAAGAAACTGTCATGAAAATGCAGAAATGTGCTGTATCATCTGTCTCACTCTTGCTCTTTCTTACCCAATGTTTTTCTTCTTTCCCCATTTCAACTATTCCTTTTCTCTTTCTTTCCCTTTGCTCCATCACTTTCTCACACAGTCATCATTTTCCTTGCATTTCTCGTTTCGTCCTCGCTGTGTGACTGGATGAGAACTGACAGACTCCAGTAAACCCTTTCAGTGGCATTGCCCATTAGCTCTGTCATGCATTTAACTCGCCTCACCTCCCCGACTATGTGTATTATAGAATAGAGTCAGCGGGCCCGGTGTGACCCGAAGACAGTGCCAAGGAGATTTCTGACTGATGGCAAATCAGTCTTTTGATGATTTATTAATCTCTTCTGGATTAATGGATGCTCACCAGTGCCATGATCTGCATAGGTGGAAGTTGAGAAAATTTGCATCAGTATGTACTTACAGTGTGTCACAAGAATAACATATATACCAGGATTTGTGAAGCAAAGCAACAGCTCACACAGACTTCACCACTTTCCCATCAACCCGCTCACTGAAGTCTCCATTTTACCCCAAAGCCATCCAGTGAACGTCTGTCATGGCTATCGTTTTTCATGAATATCTTTCAAAGTAATAATGATATCAGCCTCATTCCCAATGCCAGTGGTAGGTTGTTATGGTCAGGCAATCATATGTGAGGGTCAAACTATCATGGGAATATTACTTTTATGGTATTATGAGGAAACTGAGTTGCCCTGTGGGGGGAGGTCTGCACTCTCTGAGTGCTGTCTGGTTTGTACTGTAACTGTCTGCATTTGGTAAGTAGCTTGTGCAGCAATGCTGCATATGTATAATGAGTCCTATTAAAACACCCAAATGCGTTAGTTGTGGTATTTGCCAAACAGACAGCTATGCTAATTATTCAGAGGGGACAAGAGAATCACCATAATGGGTCTGTCGTGGTGTGGAGACTGTGTGGCATGGGGGGTCTGCAGCGGTAACTCAGTTGTGTAGG